CTGTATTTGTCACCAATAGGAGTTATTTACCACTCACATACTGAGAGCAAACTTCTTGAGAGAGCCAAAAAGGACTTGGAAGTAAATTCAAATGTCCTTGAATTTCAAATAAGGAGATATTTTATATTCTTTGAGACAGCAAATGCAATGGTTTTTTTAAAAAACAAACAGTATTTTAGGATTTGAAATCAACTTGCTGATTAAATTATATGGACAAGCCTTTTAACCTTTTAACCATGCTGAGCCTTCCATTTACTTATCTGAAATGAAGATGATATTGTTACTTCCCTACATCACAAGATTGTCAAAAGGAGCAAATAAAATTAGATCAAATTGTGTATGAGACCTATAAAGTACCATATAGTTATTTGCCATTACTTTCCTAATCAACATTGAGTATTGGTATGTATCGAGTGTGTAGCTTTTCCTCCTCTTTAGATTGTTTGGCTCCTACAGTGCAAAAACCATTTCTTCTATCATTTGCACCATAGCATCTAACATGTTGAACCACGGCTGTTTCTTCTGCAGCTGCTTTGTTTTTACTGCTCAGCAGATCCCTGGATTTATTGCCCCTTTGAGTGTTCATGTTTCTTTCCTGCCATCTTATCGTTTGTATGCTCTGTCTGTTTCAGTGTCTGTATCATAGTCAACTGGTAGAGGTTGTATAGGTTGGTGCCAAAGTCCCCATTCATTCAGTCTGTATCTGAAGAAGCTCTAAAGTCTGACTTGGGAAGCTAGAGTAGGCATAACAGTTCTTATGAACCAGCCTCTATTCTTCTTCTTCTTATCATCATCATCATCATCATTATTATGCATGATGAATCAATTAGTCAGATTGTATTTTTTTTGTTATTTCATTATTACTCTCTGGTACAAAAAGAGGTATTGGAAAACAATAGTTTGACTTTCAGAATTTGGACGAACAGGTATCAAAGAAGGAGGACAAAGAGATGCATTTATCTCTGTTCTTTCTAGTAGAGAAAACTAGAAAGGATAGTCTCCTAGTTGTCTCCCTTTATCCTATGTGTGTAATTCCACTCTGAGCAGCTTGTAGGAACATATAAATCACTGTGTTTTCATATTTTACTAAAAAACAAATGACGTTTGTATCGAATCATATTACTAAACCACGCAGAAGAATTATACCTTGTTTATGAGAAACTTCTATGAATTTTAATTTGGAAAAGAAGAAATTAGGAGCTAATTCAGTTAACATACACTTCTTACACACAAATTGTGCCAACCAGTATTCTAGGCTCTGTGTATATAGTAGCAAACAAGATTCCTGCCCTTGGAGAGCTTAGCAGGAAAAATTGACATTAAACATATAATTATGAAGTGATATATTGTAAAAGGGGATTACAAGCATCCATGGGTGGTTTTTCCAGGCAGAGACAACAGGAGCAGAGGTAAGACTGGGAGAAAACTCGGGTGAGGCTGGAGAAGGGAAGGAAAGGGCCATAGCATAAAGGATCTGGAATATCATCTGGTGGACATTTGCTTTCTCTTTTTAAAGTGTTTTAGTTTTGAATCTATTAAAGAAAAGACAATTTGTCTATTTTTTTTTTTCGTTTGAATGTTGGGCTTTCATATTGTAGGCTGAACATATTTTAAAACTGGAAGTGATCTAAATAGTTGGATGTTTAAAATATGACAGATTTTTCAGTTATATTCTTATAATATAAGGTGTGCATTCTTATTGCATTTTAAAGACACTCGTGAAGACATTTGAAGTGTGTGATCTTCCTGTTCGAGCTGCAAAGTTTGTTGCAAGGAAGAATTGGGTTGTGACAGGAGCGGTAAGTAATTAATCCCATTTTCTGAATTGGACAGTGACTATGTAAATTAGTTGCAGAATTTTGATTGCTGATTTGTTTTGTTAATCAGTGTGATGTTTTGAAGCTTGGACTTCATTCCTTGAGCCTATAATATAGTTTTATGTACAATTTATTATACTGTGTAACAGTGATGATGGTTTGAAAATTTCCATTTCTAGGATGACATGCAGATTAGAGTGTTCAATTACAATACGCTGGAGAGAGTTCATGTGTTTGAAGCACACTCAGACTACATTCGTTGTATTGCCGTTCATCCAACCCAGCCTTTTATTCTAACTAGCAGTGGTAAGAGATGGTTTCTTTTGACCATGTGAATCTCTTTGGGTAATTCATTTTCATCCAGTGAGATGTGCTTTCTTTAATTATAGCTACAAGTAAAGTTCTAATTCCATGCTGCCTTTAAACTACTTAGATCCATTACTGTGCTGTTGATTAGCTGTACTTAGGATTTGTATAGCAGTTGCTCCAGTTCCTGCCAGGGAAGACCTGAGGGTCTAGATGCTTGAACATCTGGTGAAAAGAAAGCTTATTTGCATGCTGATGCGTGAGTTTTGGCAGATTGGCAGATTACCCTGATCAGTTTTATCTTTATATATTAAAATTAGTTTGCTCCTTGGTATTATGTATGAAACAGCAGATCTTTTGGAGGGCAAATAAAACAAGTAGCTTTGAATTGGCAATAGGTTTTTGAAACGTTTTTAAATTTAAAATTGAGAAATGATTAAAAACTTATTTTAAGCCAATTTTGTATTATGGCAAACGCTTATTCTCTAAATAGTCATTGCTGTCATTATTCAGTCAAACTTACATTCTAATCAAACTTGTATTACTCATTTGACATTTTTTAATGCCTGTTGAATTTTTTCCACAAAATTTTTGTATTTGCTACTAGTAGTCTATTTTATCTCCACTTTTCTATAGAGAGTTAAACTTATTCTTAGGATAAATAAGGATTTTGAAAAGTCTGTTCAGTTTTGTTCTGTGTCTGTAAGTCATGGAATGTAGGGTTTGTGTTAGATTTGCTGCCTTAAAAGGCATAAAGACTCTGTGTCTTAGTTCTGAAATTAAAAGAAAAAAAAAAAGTAGAAGCTACAACTAACTTGAGACTTTCTTTTGTCCTAGATGACATGCTTATTAAGCTCTGGGACTGGGATAAAAAATGGTCTTGCTCACAAGTGTTTGAAGGACACACTCATTATGTTATGCAGATTGTGATCAACCCCAAAGATAACAATCAGTTTGCCAGTGCATCTTTGGACAGGACTATCAAGGTAGGGTCTCCACTCTGTGTCAATTATCATTGTTAGGGAGATTTACTTGTTTTATGTGTTTTACTACTGTTTAGCCAGAAAGTTACTCCTCTCTTAGAGGTTTTCTTTAAAACTTATTTGGAAATGAAAGTAGGACTTCTCATTTTGATTCAGAAGGACATATTCTATTTAGAAATATTGTGGCAGCTCAGTGCTTTTAATGAAGGATTGTTTTTCTGTGTGGAAGCAGCATGTTGAAAAAAAATATTTTTAACTTTTGTGGAAACTCCAAATAAGAAAAATGCCAGTATCTTTTCTAGGTTGTTACTTACCTCTCCTTTTAGTGTATTCATTGTTGACCTCTGCTCACCATTAATTTGGCATTTATTTAAATTCCATCTGCCTCCATTCTCTCTTTCTTACTCCATTTCCCTATACTGCTACCAGTTACCTTTCTAAAACATATTCCATCTTGTCAGTTCATGATCTAAGGATAAAGCTCAAATGCCTTAGTGTGGTATACAAGGACTTCCAAAACTAGTCTGGGCTAATATTCTGAGATATCTCCTAAAACCCTGGTCTGCTCACGATCCTCTAGAGATGCCATGAATGTTCACAGAACCTTCCCTTATTCATCTGTTCCTTCTGCCAGCAGTTCTCTTTGTTTTCCCAATTTGAATTATTTTCCTCTGAAGAACTACTCAGCTTTCAAGGCTTAGCACAAATATTTACTCTGAGAAGCTCTTGTCAATCATTCACTTCATCTCTAGACAAAGCCAGTTATACTTACCTCATCTCTTCCATTGCTTTTTGCCTCTAATACAGTCTTTCTCATATTGAGTCATAATGTGTTCTTGGAAATCTTTACCCCTTGAACTATTGACTGTTTGGGGCAAGAACTGTGTGTTACCCTCTTCCCCCAAACAGGCATTCAGTAGCAAACAGCACTGTACCTGGCCTGTACTAGATGCTTAATAGATGTTACAGGGAGTGCAATCATATTCCTTTCTTCGTCATAATATCTTTCTGCATAGATTTAAATTCAAATCAAATTTTGCTTATACATTTTTCCTCACATTTATAACATTTTTATTAGTTTTCCTTTAACTATTATATAAGACTATTTATTGTATCTGAATATCTTAGGGCTGTTGTTGTTGAGGTCTCTTTCACCCAGGCTAGAGTGCAGTGGCATGATCCCAGCTCGCCGCAGCCTCAGCCATCTGGTCACAGGCGATCCACCTCAACCCCTTGAAAGCTGGGACCACAGGCACACATCACCATGTCCAGCTAATTTTTTAACTTTTTTGTAGAGGCGAGGTCTCACTGTATTACCTAGGCTGGTCTCAAACTCCTGGGCTCAGGCAGTTCTCCCTCCTCAGCTCCCAAATTCGTATCCAGCCTGAATATCTTAGGGTTTTTACCTTACTTTTTTTATTTTTCATTGGATTCTTGTTGCTTTTGACATAGATTGGAAACTTTGAAATTAGTTTTAAGCTTTCTCCACTAAATTAGGTTATCTTAAGAACAAATAGTGTCTTTTCTTTGGTTCCAGTAAAGTTTATTATGTATAGTAAGTGATAAACATTTGTTTACACATCTTTATACTTCCACAGAGCCTCCCATGTGTTAGGCACTCAGTAAATATTTGTAAAGATAAAGCTCAGTCGTGCCCTGTGGTAATTTTTGACACTTTTCTATAATTTAAAATTTTAATTAAGTAGTAATTTTCTCTTTTTAATATATCTTACTAAATCCACTTTCAAAATCTCAAGTATCTAGATTCCTGGGCTTCACTGTAGATAAACTGAATTGTAATCTCTAGGGATAAAGTCTGGAAACTGGCGCTTTCAGAGAACACCATAGTGATTCTCCTCCCTGGAAATTCAAGTAAAATGAGAAAGAACAAAAACAAGTGAAAATGAATATTTAATAGCTTTTCTCTCCTGGGTTTTGGCAATTTATATAATGCCAGAAATATGGTAGATTTGTTTTCTGAAAAGTGCGGCCCTGTACTGACTGGCAGATGCTGTTGCTCTCTGAAGGTGTGGCAGTTGGGCTCGTCATCACCAAACTTCACTCTGGAAGGACATGAGAAAGGCGTGAATTGCATTGATTACTACAGTGGTGGTGACAAACCATACCTCATTTCAGGTGCAGATGACCGTCTTGTAAAAATATGGGATTATCAGGTACAGTTTTTTATAACCTTACTTGCCGTGTTAGACACATTTCTTACTATTTCTTACAGGACAGTTTAAAAACGTGGGTTTTTGAACTCCATTCATAGCTTAATAACTTAAATTTCAGTATTTGCATCTAAGCTGTACTCCCAGAATTCTTTATAAAAAGGAACACAAATAAATACTTATCAAGATTTTAAAAATAAAATGCCAGCATATTTATTTTTCACTTAATAATAATTAGAAATTTCAACATTTTAATGCTAAATTTTACATCCCCTGGTATCTTCATTGACAGATGTCTGTTTGCATTTGAAAAGTGGCAAATCAATAAGTAATGTCATAACATAGTCACAGTACAACTATGTTGCCACAGAGAACTCTTGTAAACCAAGTTATAAACTCTTATACCATGCTTCTTGTCCCCAAGATTTTCTATTTCTATATTTTTGCTTTTCACATCAGTAGTTTTCATAAGCAGTTAATAAAATTAAACATAGAAAATCAGTTTTAGAGCCGGGCTCAGTGGCTCAGCCTGTAATCCCACACCTTTGGGAGGCTGAGGTGAGTGGATTGCCTGAGCCCGCAGGTTCGAGACCCGCCTGGGCAGCAAGACCTCATCTCTACAATAAATCAAAAAATCAGCCGGGTGTGGTAGCGCATGCCTGTAATTCCGGCTACTTGGAAGGCTGAGGCAGAAGGATCGCCGGAGCCCAGCAGGTCGAGGCTGCGGTGGCCGGGAGCGGCCACGGCACTCCAGTCTGGGCAACAGTGAGACTCCAATTCAAAAGAAAATCAGTTTTACCTTGAAACTTTTTCAGATTTATACTTAAATCCAGAATAAAAATACTAAAGGCTAAAATAGCACTGTCTGCCTAGTCCACAGATGGTAGATATGAATTTTAAGGGGAAAATTCTAAGAATTCGGGGGAATAATATTCAGATGAAAACTTAGTTGGTGTTTTTTTTTCTTTAGATATGATAGTTACATTTACTTTTATCTATGTTATGAAATAATTTGAGAAACTATTTATATATACAAGATTATTCTATTTCAAAAATGTCTATATTGGATACTATGTAGATTGCCCTAACTACTATAATTTATAGTGTATCTATACATTGAGAAAATCAAAGGTGGATTGGTTACTTGTTTTTCACTAATAAAAAACTTTTTTTCCGTGTCTTGATTATAGAATAAAACATGTGTGCAGACACTGGAGGGACATGCCCAAAATGTGTCTTGTGCCAGCTTTCATCCTGAGTTGCCGATCATCATCACAGGTTCTGAAGATGGTAAGCTAGAAGTGTATGTTTATTTCTGTATTGGTAATGGCTATTTAAACCTATTGTCTCCACATTGTAATTGGAGGTTTCCAAGGATCTCGATATTTTTATTAGAGTACTAGACTTAAACTGTAAAAGAGTAAAGAGCACTATAATTGCCATCATCATCATCATTCTACTGCGTTTTGATTCTGTCACTTAAATAAGCGAACACCCCAATATCCTAGAGAAAAACTGAAAAAAAGCATGTGCTTCAGAAACAAACAAGCCTGCATTCAAAATCAGGTCCTGCCATTTCGTGAATGTATGATTTGGGCAAATTATGAAATGAAAACACACATATTCACTTCATAGGATTACAGTGAGAAGGTGGGAAGAAATGTGCAGAAATAATCTGACACATAGGAAGCACTCTACCCAGAAAATCCTGTTACTGTTTCACATTTAACTCTACCCAGAAAATGCTGTTACTATTTCACATTTAAAGTCACATTTCTTAGTTTTAGTTTCTTATAAGCTTTCTATTATTATATTTATGTTGCTTTATTAAATCATTTAAAGACTGTAGATCAAAAAACTAGTCATTAAGCTGCCATGAAGTGATTTTTATTTGAATAGAAAGACTCATGTGGCTCATTCACCTGACACAGTTTATTAAGGGATGTTCGTATCTAAAGGGAATATTCACCTTGTTCTTTTTAGGAACAGTGCGCATATGGCATTCAAGCACCTATCGGCTTGAGAGTACACTGAATTATGGAATGGAGAGGGTATGGTGTGTGGCCAGTCTAAGAGGGTCCAACAATGTCGCTTTGGGCTATGATGAAGGGAGCATTATTGTTAAGGTAATTACTAACTCTCTAAGTGGATGGATATAGGTAAAGCCATTTTCCTTGTATTTTAGTACTTTCATCTTTAAGTCACCAGTTTTGTTAAATTGGCACTTTTTTCATTAAGTACTAGAGATTACTCAATGGAGATACAAGGTTGAAGAAAGAAAAGAGAGCTGTCTGCTAAGTGAAAAAAAAGAGCATGTATTTTGTTGTTGTTTTGGTTTTTTTTCATTGCTAAGAACCATTTGTCATTCTTTCCAGCTTGGTCGAGAAGAACCTGCCATGTCTATGGATGCCAATGGAAAGATAATTTGGGCCAAGCATTCAGAAGTCCAGCAGGCCAACCTAAAGGCAATGGGAGATGCTGAGATTAAAGATGGAGAAAGATTGCCACTGGCAGTAAAGGATATGGGCAGTTGTGAAATATACCCTCAGACTATTCAGCACAATCCTAATGGGCGGTAAGCTATCACCAAAATCTCTGTCTGAGTTTCTGTGTATGTCAGGGTAGGATTTGCATTCCCACAGCATATTCACTCCTGGCCTATAGTCAGTGTCTCTCATCATTCTTCACTGAGCTTTTGCCCTGCCTGCACAGTCCTCAGTGCAGCTGCAGGTAAGCCATGCCAGTTGGTCAAGTTGGCATGCAAAGTGCAGCGTGTTTGCCCTCCTGGCCTTGCTCTATATCATACATATTTGAACAGTTAAATAGTAGCATGCTTACTCTTACTTCATATGTGTTGGGTTGGTGTTTCTGTGTGCTCCTTGGAGGGTCAGGAACATGTCTTATTCTGAGACTTAGTAGGGGTACTCTAAATACTTGCTGATTCATTGCTGTTAATAAAAGCTTACTCTGAGGTATGTGTCTTTTGAAAAAGTTTTGGCATTGGTAATAATTCTGCTTCTTATTTGTAATTTGAGCTGTGAGTTCTATTTCTCCCTTAGTTAAGATTTGTAAAGCACCAAACATGAGAGAGATTTCTAGCACAATGAGTTTAAATGTGTGGAGCTTTAAAAATTATTTTTCAGTTCATCTGGGCACCTTAGAATGCTGTCCTGAGTATTAAAAGAGGCAAAATATATAAAGCAAGTATGCTGCGTAGTTCAGTAAATGGTATCCAGAATTATTTGTCATATAATTATCTTTTGAAGGTTAAGAATGTATTATATATAGTTCTCAATATCATAAAACATTTGCTGTAAGTTTTGCATTTACCTTTGTCAATCCTTTGATAGCAGCCATTACAATATTATCAACAATAACTTTAAAGTGAGTTGTCTTATGTCTATTCAGAAAATTGTATTTGACTATACAGCATTTCATTTTTAATCATTATTTAAATGTTAGAATAGCTTGTTTATTTTGATAAATTTAAGTCATTAAAAACTGGAGTAATTATTTTTATGCATTTGAATGATCAACTTTAAAGAGAAGATAGTCTGGAAATAACATAGTACCTTCCTGTGGTATAAATGTCATGAGCCCTCCCTGTGACATAGTGTCCCAAAGTGTAAGGCATCTTGGTGCTCAACAAACACTCGTTGAATAACTGAAATCCTCCTATGCATCACCAGCCATTCTCAACATCCTGTCTCCAGTCATCTTACTTATAAGAGAAGGCCATTGCCATGACAGCTCTGGCAGTAATGCCATATTTATAATTTGCTTTTGGATGTGTTAGACTATTTTTGTATAGCTCTGTATTCAAAGAAATGTATAACTTTAGAAGATATTAAATTATAGTAATTAACTGAAATAACATTTTTTATTAGAATTATTTTACCATAAAGATGAATTATTACCGAACTTCTATGTGTCTTTGCTCCTCTGTCTGCCCTCTCTGGCTTCTGTGATTTCTAGGTTTGTTGTGGTGTGTGGTGATGGGGAGTATATCATCTACACAGCAATGGCATTGAGAAACAAGAGCTTTGGGTCTGCCCAGGAGTTCGCATGGGCCCATGATTCTTCAGAGTAAGTAAGATAACCAGGTGGCTCTGATTGCAGATGGGGGTTGTGGTGTGCTGCTCTATGGAAGAGATTCTCGAGGCTTAATGTGGGCTGTGTTTCTCCATGTTAAAAAAACAGTTCTCACCAGAGCTACCCATTGAATGATTAGAGTCAGAGGCAGCTATATAGTGTGAGCTGTCTTTGCCCTTTCTGTGTTCATTATTGCGCTGGCTCACTCAAGTTGATATGCTAATCCCACTTAGCTGGGGATCCAGCACCCATTTCCTTGATGGAGCCCATGGCAGGATCTGAACTTTATTGAATCTTTTTTTTAGCACTCATTTTCTGAGATGTTACCCACCTCCCATTCTTAACAAAACAAGTTGCCGTCTCAATCCAGAATCTTCATACAATGTTCTCATTAAGAGCAGGAGAAAGATTTAACTCTGAATCGTCTTACTAGATAGTCATTGACTCGTGTTCCTTTTTGATTTCTGTTTAGTGCGTGTATAAACATTAGGACTCTGGTGTTTTCAGACCACACAACTGAATTACATCCTCACAATTTTGTTTTTCCTACGTTTTGTGTTGCCTCCTGCCCCCAACACTGGGGTTACTTGACCATTAGCACTGCATACTAAATGCATTTTATAAACATTTTATAACAATAAGATTTCCTGAGAGGTAGGGAATTGTTCTGATCTTTTCATAAATGTTTTAAGTACACTCATACGTGCACAGTTCTATATACTCAAAGCTACTATGTTATAATCTTAAGCAAAATTATAAATTTTGTGTTTGTGAATTGCCTTACTTCTCCCAACATATCT